CTGTTAACTCAAAAGTATAACGAGAACTAAACTACATACAGATCACACACTCTATATTAAAGGGTATAATATGATCTACAGCAGTATTCTAATTCAACTACTTTTGTTACATATATAAGGTAACATATAATAACAGAATAATATCACAGGACACAGAGAAACATGAAGGACAAGGGATCAAAACTAGAAACCATAGAATAACTCACACAAGTACAATAATACAAAAAATCACAAAGAATTAACATGCTGGGTCAGGAGACCGAGTACCCTGACACTCTCCTTACTCTCACCACATGAGGCTGGGCATTGTTATCCATCAGAAGGAACCCAGGACTCACTGCACCAGCATAGGTTCTGACAGTGGGTCCATGGGGTTCATTCTGGTACCCAATGGCAGTCATGGTGTCGTTGGCTAGCCTGTAAAGGTCTGTGTGCCCCTCAGTGGATATGCCTCTCCAGACCATCACTCACCCACCCACCCACATGTTAAAGGCAGCATTACATTCTCCACGGCTTCTCCAGACCCTTTCACATCTGTCATATGTGCTCAGGGTGAACCTGTTCTCATCTGTGAAAAGCACAGGTCACTAGTGGTGGACCTGTCAATTCTGTTTTTCTATGGCAAATGCTAATCTGCTCCACGGTGCCAGGCAGTGAGCACAGGGCCCACTAGAGGACATCAGGCCCTTAGACCACCCTCATGAGTGTCCTGCTGGAGGTCATTTTGTAGCTCTGACAGTGATCATCCTGTTCCTCCTTGCACAAAGGAGCAGATACCGGTCCTGCTGATGTGTTAAGGACCTTTTACATGCACAGCTGTCCAGCTCTCCCAGAGCCTGTCCCCTGGAATCTCCTCCGTGCTCTTGAGACCGTGATGGGAAACCCAGCAAACCTTCTGGTATCAGGTATTGCCTCGTGCTACCAGTAGTGACTCTGACTCTAAGCCAAATGCAAAACAGAAAAGGCGAAAATGTCAGTGTCCTCCACGTGTAAAACCATTCCTGTTTTGGGGCTCGTCTCATTGTTGCCCATCTAGTGCACCTGTCGTTAATATCATTAACATCAAAGAGGAAACTGATGAAGAAACTGATTAACAACCCCCTCTGCTACTGGACTGACCAGCTCAATATCCCAGACGATTCACTGACTTGATGCTGTATTCTGATTTTAAAAAGTGTAACTTTAAAGTTTGGGGGGTTTTTTTGGAGCCTTGTAGTTAGGTCCATTAGTTTTTGTAATGCTTCCTCTGTAAACCAACGAAGTAGATTTTTAATCAAATGTGACAGATGTGCATATATTCAGCTTTAATTCAAGAGGTTATATATATACTTATATAAAATTTTAATTATAAAGATTGTTTTTAAAACTTGGATAAAAATTCTTTGTAGCCAGTGTAGTCAATGGCTGCTTGAAGTCTAGAGCCTATGGACAAAGCATTTCGAAAGTTGGGATAGTCTTTGAATTTGAACCGTGGCTCACAAACAGTATTAGGCAACATCAATAGTCTGCCAGGCCTTCAGTGCAGCCAGTTCCTGCATGTTTGTGGGACTTTCTGCCTTCAGTCTTGTCTTCAGTAACTGAAAAGCACGCTTTGTTGGGTTGAGATCAAGTCACTGACTTGCCCATTGAAGAATATCCCATGTCTTTGCCTTGAGAAATTCTTGTCTTTCTTTGGCAGTAGCCTCTGGGTTATTTTCCATTTGCACTGCGAAAGGGTCTCCTATCAGTTTTGCAACATCTGGCTGAGTTGGAGCAGAGAGTATTGGCCTGTACGCTTCACAGTTCATCCTGCTACTTCATTAAATACTAGTGGCACATTTCCACTGGTGGAGAAGTTGTTTTTCTTAATCAAAGAAGGAATTTGCCATCACATACTGTAATTGCCTTCTGTGGGCTTTTCATTTTGCTGGTACATTCTTAAACAGAGAGGTTTGTTTTTAATTTATACTTTCCTTTTTTCAGCCTCATGAGGGCCTCACTTGCATCAACATGTCTTTAGACCTCATGTTAAGTTCCAATGTAAAATTCAACAACTGGATCGACTCCAAATCTCTATCTCATTTGTCACAGAATAATGACAGAACTGGTCTCACCTGGCCAATTGAAACCGGCTGTCTGTTAAGTTTCCAGTTACTTTCACAACAACTGAAAATGGTGGGCTATGGTCCTATTGCTGTTACACCATTTGAGTTGAAACTAACATCTTTTTGTTTAGTTTTAATCCCACTGTGATGGTCTACGGACACAAAATTACAAAAGCTGTGAAATTGTCCCAAAAATTATGGCACCAGCAGTTTTGAAGCAAGATTGGTAAAATTGGTAATCAGTGGATTCTTACATTTGATTTAATTTCAAACAGCATTCCTGACTTTTGGAAACTCGGTTGTATGAGTATCAGTAATAAACAAGACAAATACATTTATTAATACATCATGCATAAATTTCACAAGCTGCAAATACTATTGATACACTTCACCTTGTTACCTTCTTAAATACAAACACTAACTAAACCAAGCTAACTAGACTATTCCACGTTAAGGCCTCACTAATAACAATGTTGTATAACATGTTATAGACCACGGTAAACAGTTTTTTGCAATACATGAATGTTTTCCCTCAGAAGATAAAAGGAACTAAAGCCTTTCGAAACTTGGGATAGTCTTTGAATTTCTCAAGATAAAACCTGCAACAGAAGAAACAACAATGGTTTAGAAACAGCATGTGGGTAAAATCCTTAGTTGAGTATTAGTATTTGTGTCAGGACTCCTTCACATCAATATCTTAGGCACCTGTGATGGTAGTAGGCTCTTGGTCCAATGAAGCAGAGGGTGAACAGAGCGAATGAGAGTGCTGGAAAAGACCAGTTGGCTACAGCGTATCCAAACCACTCCACAATCTCCCCTAAGTAGTTGGCACCAGACACATATTCAAACAGACCTCCTGCAGGAGATTAAGTAGACTGCAGGTTAATACAAGCACAGTGGGAGTTTGGTCACTAATCTGTTTCTTACCAGTAGGAATCTTGTATATTACTTCCTTTGGTTTCCTCAAGTTGCGTAGAATAAAGTCGCTGTGAATATTAATGGCCATGCCGATGTAAAACAGCAGTAAACCTGAAAACAACAACAACAAAAAAAGAATTCTCAGTATATGAGACATAAAAAAAATACAATTAGATTCTGACTTTCACATCCAAAGAGTAAATATTCCACTTACCAATTTTAAAGCAATAGCCCGTAAACCACTCATCATCAAACTGGGCACAATGCAGCAGGTAGTGTCCTTGCAGGAAACCATTTAGAGAGCAGAACAAACCCGCTGTCACCATCACACTCAGCGGGAAAGGCTTTCCTTTCATCAATAGCGAGTACACAAATGTTCTATGATTGGGGAACAAAATGGTAGATGCAGCAGGGGTGGCAAAAGACGGGGATAATGGTACATTTTTTCCATGCTGGTAGATGCAGAAAAAGCTGTGTTTTTACAATCCACTGGAAGCACACTGTATAAATGATTTGGCATTAAGGTGAAAACTAAAATGGTGCCACTAAGCTCCACTCTTCATGGGAGGTTAGGAAAGCATTCCTCAGAGTGTTGTTTTGAATTATAGCAGCAGGAAAAATCCTTTTCAAACCTCCTTTTGTTTTTTTCTTTTGCTTTTTAGGTCCCCATCTGAAATTTTGTCTCTTGCTTTCACTAAATGTCTCAATACGTAATGTACATCCAGCAGCTAAAAGATGATTACGCCACGTCTTTGTTGTTTTATGTAAAATAGAAAAGACAAACTGTTAGAGAGGAGGGATTTTAACTTTCCTTTTTTTAAATAACATCAAAGTTGATCACTTATGTTGGAAAGATTCAATAGGAATATTGTAAATAGGAATACATGTATTCACGACTGTTTACTGTCGTGAATACATGTTCCCTGTTCCCTTCACATGCATAGCAAATGGCACAAAGCTGACTTGTTTTTCTGCTTTTACCTTTGAAAGTAGTGCACGCAAAAGGTCGTTAGCAGCAGGTACTTCCCCATAATTGTGGATTTGTGCGTGGTGAGCATTAAAAGTAGAGGGATGATGAAAGCCGGCATCTCCTGAAGGAACCAGGCTAGTCTAGCAGGAACCATTCTAGCAGGAGGGCATGCCATGTAGCGTCCATAGGAGCTCTGTGACTTCCTGTGATAAACCAGGTGCCAAACTCCTGCCAGAATAAGTCCACAGCTGAAAAAGCTCACCAAGTCCTGATGGCAGTGCATCCTAGCAAGTGTTCGCCTCAGCCGGTAAAAACTGCTGTGACCGTTTCCACTCGCGAACTAAGCATATGTATGAAGCTCAATGGATGTAAATCGCCTTGCAGACTCCTCCCAAAATAAAGAAAGAGGTGTGTGTGTTCATCAGGCTGTTGACAGGTTGAGCTTTCAGAGCGTAGGTACAAACATTGCTAGAGGCAATGTCTCGATTAGCCTTCTCTGTCTTGGAAGACATTTTGATGTTAAACTGTCACATTTCCAAAAGCTGTAACACACATGAAAAGAGTCACCACAAGTTTGAGTATGAGAGGTAACCAAAGTGCTCAAAACCACCACTGCTTACAGATGTACATGGCAATCCCTGAAGTGCACTTCAGTTATGTTGCTCTTTTTGTATTTCCAAGTGATATGTAAAAGGCATGAGGGTAAATGTTCAGAGTCCTGTAGCTTTAGAGTAAGAGTTTCTCTCCTACTAAATACCACCAAGAGGGTACAGCTGGCACAGGAGGACTGACTGAAGTCATCAAAAATTCATAGCAAAGTCAAAGTCCAGATTATAATCCTGATTATAGATTATATAAATGTATCTAGCTTCAGGGTTCAGTGATCAGATGATATATATGATATGCATTTGCACAAAAAGTTCATTTTTTTGGTATGTTCAACTCGGTATGAATATAGTACTGAAATTAATCATTTGAAGCATTCAGCCTCAATAAAACCATGACAAGCACACAGCTAGGTCACTGTTCTTTCAGATCAGGAAATGTAGAAATGTAGCAAATGTAGAAATTTGATACATTTCCCTCATTTTCACATGGATTCTAAATACATGTGAAAATGAGGGAAACATAAAAATTCAGCACTCTGTGCAACACCATTTAACTTGTATTGTCTTTGATGTTCATTCCCCAGTAAACATACTGTGTAAAAGTATCAAACCACCCCTCATTTCTTTAACCTTTGCTAGGAAAATGGGAAATAGGTGCAGCAATGAACTGAAAGGTGCAAGCATACATGGAAATGCCGTTTATATCTCTGTCAAATTTTCTTGTCATTTGTTTAAGTAGTCTTCAAGAAAAGTTCTCCAAGCTTCTTTCATATATTCAACCAAAGAAATGTGAAAGAATTATGTGTATTTGTGACAGGCCGCTGGCAACAAAGTGCCTATGTTGCCTGTTTTATGTCTATTTAATAATAAGTCAGTATTAAGTGCCTTAACAAAACAAACAAAGTTCCTCTGAAAAAGGTCAGGTACAAGGACTGCAATTAAAATGAATGACAAAGGAGCCAATGTCAGCCAAAGAAAAACTCCAAAAGACCTTCACAGAGCTTGAGGAACTTTTGCACTAAAAATAACAAAGTCTGCCTCCTTGAAAGCAAAATAAACTTCACATAAAAAAGTAAGGAAAGGGCATTAAGGGGATACAATTGGGCTGAGAAGCAAAGTTGAGTATGTGGGTTGAGCCCATAAAATTCTTGCTAAATTTTTTTGTTGATGTCAAACAGCTTATTCTGCTATTCACTCTTTTTTTGGTGTTATTTCTTCAGACTTCAGTGATCCAGTCCAATAAACGACATCAAACAAGAGTCAATAGCAGAATAAGCTGTTTGACATTGGCAGAGATGATTTGGCAAGTTTTTCATGTGCACAACCCGCAACTGCATCTCCACGAAATAAACAGGCTTTTGAACGGTACAAGATTTATTGCCCAGAAGCAAGGTTACAACAAAGAAATAATCAACCAACCAAGTTAATTAAAAAGTGAAGGGTAACTAAAGACTTAGCATTGGTGGTTAGAATTCTTGTTAACTTCAACTTGTACTATGACTCCTTCTACAACTGATCAAATGCTTCTGGTGGGAAAATGGCATGAGTAAGGAACCAGCAGCAGCTATCTAGCATCCGAGTTCATTAGTCAAGTCACAGCTACAGCACTTATATAGACACATTTTCTTTAAAAAAAAAAAAGGAAATTTGAGTTCAGTGGTCAAATATGTAAAAAACTAGTAGAAATATGTACTATAAAGCAAGGTAGACTTAAAAAGCAACACAATCTGTAGTAGTTTTGTGCAAATACACACAAGCACAATCGGCTGCCTTTTTAATAGGTACATTTTGGAAACCTTATAGTGTAGTAAAACTGCTCCAGAATGTGTCCTTCCTATTTGAAAAAGAACTTAATGATCAATTGGTGCTGAAAGAGTTTCAGATTAGTGTTTGTAATATTCTGTCCACCATCTCTCCATTAGTAAGAATGGGCTAAATAACAAATAATTCTCAGTATAACAGTACAATTTAACACCAACTCAAACTATAGCCTTGAAAATGACCACAAAGTGGAATCGGTTCCTATCTGAAACAAAAACTTGACTATTGAAGTCCTCACATATTTTACCTCCCAAAATAAACACACTAGTGTTGTCATGCAACCTGCCTCCCCCCTGTTGGTGACATTGGCCTTAAAATTGCTTCATGACTGATGTAGTTTGCACAGGATGTCTATTATAGAAGCTGCACTGTAAACCTATTGTTCGCTTATGTCTGTTAGTTGGTAAACTGGGGTGAAAATGAGTGTTTGGTATTGAAAAACATAATTGGTTTCAATGTAGTCAGTGACTGAGAAGTTACATGGATGTATGAGATCAGTGCGTTTTCTGTGATTGTAAAAACCGGAAGAACGAGACACCAGAGCAGACAAGCTTTTCAGTACATTTTACTCATTTTGTTACATGAATCCTCGGCCTCATCTGAAGAGCCTTTTGGGATGCTTTACCAGTGGAACCTGAGATCAAAAAAACTCCATTAAGGGAGTAGTTAAGTAGTATATTTTTAGGTCTGTGACGTGTAAGTTCCAATTCTCAAACCAAGAAAAGAAAACAAAAAACAAAAACAAGAAATACAAAAAACATTTCTAAAAGACAAACAAATATTCATATAACAGAAAATGAACAGTGTTGAGGTTTAGCCTTTGTCTCTCTCTACAGGAATGAGGTGATTAGCAGAAAGAGGAATACCACTCCCTGCTGGAGAAAGGAGATAACAGTTGGTGCCATTTTAGACCAACGGATGACGGGGGGACAGGTAGAATATTCCTGGTGTGTCGGGCGAGCTGGAGACACCGTCGGGCAATAGGCAAAGGGGAGGGTACACGTGAGAAAAAACAAAACTCAAGTACACATTCTAAAATAAGACTAAAAGTGAGAATATGCTTTATATGTATATGTGCAACAGTGATAAAAGGCACAATAGCACAGTGTGTCATGCTTTACTAGTTTCCCTTAAATTAGCAATAGAGGTCAAGCCATTCTGGGATTTCATCTTTCAGTCTGTGCCCACTTCATTCGAACAGATGCTGTAGTTTAATGCTGAGTGTGGTGCCTCTTTTGGTGCCAAGAGGGGAGGGGCTAATGTTAGAGGACTGCTTTGCTTAAATAGGAATATTCAACTTTAGCAGCAAAAGTCAGAGAAAAGTGACGTTCCAATCTTAAACAACAGGACAGCAGACATTTGTGTGCTGCCTATTATCGTTACTGGTACTAAAAGCCTAAACTGCTACTAAAAATCACTGGGGGGGGGGTCTGCATGTAGCATTCCTTTGGAAACGGAATTATTTCAGGCAGCAACTATTTCGCTTGTTAGTAAATAAAATATTTGTGCTTGACACTTCCGATAAATCCAAAACGTAGCAGGGAGCAACACCGGGTAGATTGTTAAAACTACCAGGAAAGCATTTGTGCTGATATTAATACTCGAGCCATCTTTAATTGCCTTATGCACAGTACTTGCCTAAGAAACACTTGCACTGTCTCATTAGTAATTCTGAAATGAATTCTCCAAACTGTAAACCAAATATAAGGATGAAAACTTACATTTTTCCAATAAATTTTGGCATTCCTCAATCAAAAAAATCCAGATAAGGTTTACCACGCATTGCACTGGGGAGAGATCTTATTTAAGCAAGTCATTGTGGTCTTCAGTGCTTTGCCTGTTGTTTAGACAAAAAGAAATGTTGCTGAATGTGTAACAAAACTGTCTTTCTCCTATTCTGACAGTTCAGTAACTACAGAAAGTCGGGGTGGAGTTGTAAACGGAGACTGGACGTCTCATAGATGGAGTCACGCACACAATATCCACCGTTGATTGTATTTCTACATAACTGCAGTTTGGCTCTAGCATGCTAGAAAGCATGGGATTGTAGTCAGGAAGCGGTGTTTGTATACACTAGTTTACTGGGCAAACTGGCTGATGGCTTTAGAGCTCAAGTGACGACTCGGCTTTTGTTCAAACCTACACACTAATTGAGTAAATATCATCACATCTAAAACTACTAAATAAGGAAAACAAAAAGGAATAAAATATGATTAAAATATTGTGTTTAATAAACTAAAAGGATAATAATATTGTTTTTGGTTTTGTACAGTAAGGGGGGTTAGTGAACTTTGTTGGGTGCAGCCCTTTGTTAGCAACTACAACACGTGCTGAGCAATGGTAGTAATTACCTATGACACTGTTTTCAAAGTTTAAATCGCATGTAGCTTGAAGCAGTCAGCCAAAACACTCCATTTTCATCTGGCAACGTTTAAATAGTCTCCATTAATATCTGCAGTTTTATTTTAATTCTTATTCTGAGGCAAATTACAAGAGAACAGATTGAGTCCAAATATAAAGATTGCATTTTTACAACTCAAATCTGTTTAGTCAGGAAAATAAAAGGGATCTAAGAAGACTACAGTCCTTGCAAAAACCTAAATAAGATTATTTTTTCCCCTCTCATTGCTTACTCCAAGCCAAAACACTGCATACTCTTCCCATCTCCACTAACCATTTGCTCCTACAAAATCTCAAAACTGCACTTCAAGCAAAATGTTTCAACCAAAAGCTCTGAGACACACTTCAAACTGGCGGAGAAAAGGCAGAGGAGAGCTGAGGGAGAGACAGAAAGAAGACTGTATTGGCTTTGAGTGTCTAGGTCCTTCCTGCAAATAGTGGGCATAACTGGGTGAGAGGGAGGGTGTCTAGGTCGGGTTATGGCGATAGATAGTAAGGGCAGGGTGGCGGCGTTGCAGTGGCCCCTGCAAAAAGTTGACCTCAATGAACGATGAGTGCCCCAGCAGCATAACTCACAGAGCTATCCTGCCAGTTCCTGCACTGACTTGATTGGGCGTAGTTCAGGAAAGTGAAGTTCATTTCTAGACCAGACTTCCTCAGCTCAGCCACAGCCTGCAAAACAGCAAAATCCACTTAGGCACTAATTCACATCATGGGACACAGCAAGAGTCTTTAGACAAACAAAGACGATAACGATGACAGATTGGCTCGTTTTAGGGAATTATTCTCGACAAGGACATGGATTTGGATCCTGAATGTCAACTGACCATTGGCCAGAGGACCTGAGTAGCACTAAGACCTATCCTCCTTATGTCACATCTTAATTTAGCTTTTCCAAATAAAATAAAAAACAAACAAGAAATATAGGGGTGTCATGACAAATGGACTAGCTGGAAAGCACTGCTTCCAGAGCCCAGAAGGATGTCATACATGTCGGACTAGAGGTTACATTGAAAGGTTATATTAAAATCAAATAACAGCGTAATATTTCCTTAGGATTTTCTGGATGATCACCTCAAGATGAATCTAGATTCTGTATTTTCTGTGTTTCTTGTATAGAAAAGCTGATGAGGATGCTGACTTCTTGATTAAAACATGTAGTTTAAACCTCATTTCATTGAAGATTCTGTACTTGGGGTTATCAGTCAAACTGAAAAATACAAATAAAGTCAGCCCACAACATGAATTTTATCAACGACTGTTATATACACACAAAAAATGAATAAACACAAATATGTAATCAGGCAATCAGATGGCAGCAACTCATTTGGGCACACAGACATGAAGTTCAGAGAGAATGGCTCGAAAAAGAAATAAAATGTATTGATGTCAGAGGAGAAGGACTAGACTGCTTCAAACTGATAGCAAGGCAACATCTACTCAAATAACAACTAGTTACAACCAAGGTATGCAGAAGAGCATCTCTGTGCACACAACAAGTCGAACCTCGAAGCAGATGGGCTACAGCAGCAGAAGAGCACACAGGACGCCACTCCTGTCAGCCAAGAACAGAAAACTGAGGCTCTTATTTAGGGATGCTCATCGAAATTCCTCAATTTCAGTAAACTGTTTGATGACAAAATTCATGTCACTGGGACCCAAGTGAACTCACGGATGCAGAAAGTATAATCCTTGCTTAATGGTGTGTGGGGGTATTTGCTTGGCACACCTTGGGTCCCTTAGTGTCAACTGAAAATTGTTTAAACGCCACAGTGTGAGTATTTTTTCTGAGTATGTGCAAACATATGGTCATCCGTTTTTAACCACAGTGTACCCATCTTCTGATGGCTGAAGGATAACGTGCAATGTCACAAAGCTCCAATCATCTCAAACTGGTTTCTTAAACATGACACTGAGTTCACTGTATTCAAATGGCATCCACACCCCCATCATGTCAATATCCTGAATCTATGTAATGAAGAATTAAGGGGGTGTACCTAATAACACGAGTGTGAGTGAAATACACTTGGTAAGACTTTTTCCTGGGTTACCTACATTTAGCAGCACTCCAATCGGGTGACGCCCACATATGGTGTTGCGATACTTCTTCAAGTAGTTGGTGAAAGACATGGGATCCAGCTGCTCTATAATGCCCATCCCCTTGACAGACAGAAAGAAATTAAACCTTAAATGTACCCTCATACCTGCAAAAATTTGTATCTTTTTTGGATAAGAACACATTATGACTCGCCGCAGCAGGAATAATAAGTGAAATGAATAACACTCATAATGGCTCAGTTCCATTAGGTGTTGCGACTGGCCAAGTAGGTCATGACAATGAATCAGCATGCGCAATAAAACGATCTTCGATAAGCGGAATGCAACTGTCATTAATCAGAAACCCTGCAGTGAAAATCAGCTTGGATATTCACGTTCCTTTTTTATATTCATGTAATATACTAGAGGCTGACCGATATAAGATTTTTCACACTGATACTGATACTGTGTAATTTAAAAATTCGATATATTGGCCAATAATTGTTTTTCTTTGAGACACACACCCATAGTTACACATAACATGGTTATATGTAAATTTGAGTCCTTACTATGATAATATGGCAGTGTAGTTTTTTTGCTTTCACAGTAAATTGGTAAGTGCCCTCTAGTGGACAAATTGTGCGTGGTTGAATGACGTCTCCCTTTTCACATTTTCATTAATTGGCAGTTATAAATGCAGATACTGATATCCATAAGTAGTT